AGAGGTCCCTTCCAACCCCTACCCTCTGTGAATCTGTGAGCCTTGCGGGGACCCTACAGCAGTTTGGGGGGGATACTTAGTACCTTTTCAGTACTGGTTGTATATAAGGACAGCAGCAGACCCACAATAAAAAAGACAAGATCTGAACTCGGGCCAGCAGGATGCTGCCACAGCCTTGCAGTCAATCGCCTATTACAATACTGTGGTTTGGGGCACTGATGAACAGGAAAATCATTAATGAGTTGTCTGCTAAAGGAATGCTGAAATAAAGAAATTCTCTGCTAAGAGGAGCCTTCCAAAGACGTGTCTGCCTGGGATTTTGAGAAAAGGTCCCATGATCTCTCGCTTGTCACTACAGGCAGGTGAAAACTGCAGGAAATAGGATGACACAGAACCAGTTGGCTGTCACTGAAGAGAGCAAGAGAAGGGATGCTGTAATTTGGTTTAGATTTTCAGTCTGCAAATTCTGCCATTGCAGAAGTGGCTGAGCAGAACTCTTCTGGCTTCAGCAACAGTGATACTGGACTTCTGTTCCCATGAAGGACAGCAGTTGGGAATTCAGGCCAAGGTTTTCAAAACTGACTTGCAGCTAGGCTGCTTCCACAATTTTGGAGCCTGTCGAGGTCCCCCTGGATCGCATCTCATCCCTCTGCAGTATCAAATTCACCATTCAGCTTGCAGTCGTCTGAAAATGTGCCGAGGGAGCACTCGATCCCGCTCTCTGTATCACTGGTGAAGATATTAAGTAGTACTGGTCCAAGTACGGACACAGCAAAAAGCTTTGGGAATCCAGGCGAGGCAAACTGACAGGCAAACTGGGTCCCATTTTCTCAAACTACAAGTGAAGGACAAAGGTTTGGGTAGAAGGGGTGCTGGAATTATGGAATATTTGGAGCTCCAAAAACCCTTTGTCATGGGGTTTTCAACAGAACACAACAGGATTAGACAACCATATTATGATCCTTTGAAAATCCCAGCCTACATAAAATGCATTATAAAAACTATCTGCAAAATCAGCTGTGCCAGCAGCTTTTCTTCGCATTATTCCCCAGTGTTTTCCTTATTTTCTAGTATTTAGAAAGGAACATATTTTGGGACGACACAGCTTGAAAAGTTGACGATTTTCCTTAATTGTGCAAATATGTCGTGATCGGAAAGGTACTCCAGTTTACCTGAAGGAGGACGGTACTGGGGAATGACCTGACCTGATGTTTGGCCCTTAGAGACCCTCACAGGACAGGACACAGTGATGCTCTAATCCTGTAGCAGATGGGTGTAGGCTGATCCTTGCACTAACCTGCATTACTCACTGATTTCAGGAGCCCCTGTCAGATCTTCCAAGGTTGCTCTCTGTACATGCTGAGTTCTTTCAGACTGAATGGGCCCTAAAGGTCATCATCCCTAAAGGAGATAGGTCAATCTTATCTCCTGCTAGTATTGAAATTGCTGTCTTTTTAGGTGACTTACATCCCCCTCCCCAAATAGAATTGGGTTGTGTGTGTTCCCAGATGCACAACAAAGACATTTTTTATCCTTTATTTCTCAAATTTTCACTCTTATTTATTTCTTTACAGTAACAATAATTAATATCACAGATTTAACAAGGGGAGCAACCAGAAAGGGGAAAAAAGAGGACGCTTACTTTTTGTCATTTGGGTAGGAACCAGTTGACATTCAAAATGCCCAGGCAGAAGCAACACAAGTACAACCACAAGAAGACCCAGGAACTTAAGTTCAAATATTCAGACCGTATCTCCAGTATTTCAGTTAATGCGAGATAGAGAAAAACGAGTTTGAGGGACAGGCTTATGCTTCACGGAAGGAGCTAAAAGAGTGATACCAAGGACCCATTGCTGAACAAAGAGAAATTTATGTTAAACTAAGAAGCGAGTTTATGGGATTAGTCTTGCTTCTAGTGGAGGACTTCTTTATAATTCTCATTAGCAGGTATTTTGGTAAAATTATTTCTTACCACAACAAGAGGGATGCCCTCAGCTGCACTGGCTCAGAGGTGCTCTGAGCCTCCACAGTCAAACACACGCTCAGGGCCCTGGTGAGTCTTGTGATTCCATCTGTTATCCAGCTCCACAGTCTAGATGGATGCTACAGACAGCAGCATTGATGTTTTCGCTGCCTGATATCAGAATAGCATTGTAGGTATTAACAACTTGCCTCGCACGCTGAAACGTTATCATAATATTATTCCAGCAATCCTGTTTCAGATGCTGAGAGAGATTCACAGGAGAAAATGAATGAACATTCTCTTCGTCGGTGAGTGTCTGGAGTAATTGTATCCCAGTCAATAATCATGGCTCTCTTTTTCTCTTATGCCACAATAAATCGAAGGTAATCCCATTTTAATCACGTCTTTGCTCCAGCTTAGCTCAAGGGCACTGAGTCATTACTGACTGCAGGGGAGTTGACACTGGTTTAAGCTGGTAACACAAAGGGCTGAATTTGGTTCCCTACTTATAGCAAACGTTCAGATATTACTCGAGTTGCGTATCTCCCTCAAAACAGAAACATCTTGACATTCTTGTCAGAAAGGGCTTACAGAGCATGAGTTTCACAACACAGTAAATAAACTCTGCTAGGCGTAAATCATTTAAGTAGTTTGCAGCACATTTCACTTGATCCCATCATTGCAGGGCTCTTCTAGATCCTCCATTATCAAATCCTGCTGGCTATTCACCCAATTTCCTTTCTTAACTGCCTTCCTCTCTTCCTTAGCATTTTGACAAGCTCGATCCTGGGCTGTCTGGTAGTTGGCAGCTGGCAAAATGGCATTGCTTTGGCCCCGCTGAGGATTGGCCTCCCTGAAGCAGAGCTGAAGCTTAAAGGCCGCCTGAAATCCTCGGCGAAAGTTTTCGTTAAAGAAACCATAGATGATGGGGTTGACGCTGCTGTTGAAAAAGGCCAGCCAGTGAGCGAAGGGGTAGATATAAATGTTGATGATCTGCAACTGGATATCTGAAAGGTTGGCGTAGTCTGAGAGCATCATCAGTGTCCACAGGGGAAGCCAGGAGAGGGTGAAAAGCAAAGCCACGATAATGAGCATTTTGATGACTTTTTGTTTCTTCTTAGACACGCTGTGCCGCTGCTCCTGGTTGTGTTTTCCCACCACGGGCATTGCTGTGTTGAAGAGAGCAATGCTTATCCTACCATACATGATAACGATGAGCGAGAGGGGAGCCAGATAGATATTGGCAAACAGAACCGTCGTATAGATCTTTCTCATTCCCGGGTCAGGCCAGTCCTCCCGGCACCAGTATACGGGGCGGGTTTCATTGCCATGGCCAAGGATCACCCTGAAACGCTTCTCTTCTTGTACCTGCAGCATGACTGCAGAAGGACACATGATTGCGACGGCCAGAATCCAGATGACCGCTATGATGGCGACTGCAGTTGAAATGGTCAGCTTCTGCTTAAATGGATAAACGATGCATCGAAACCTGTGGCAAAGACAGCCGGGGGCATACGTGGAGAAGCCATTTAGGGAATGCTTAATCGATCAGGCAAGCATACACACACATTTTAAATTGCATGGTTTTTAAAAAGTATAGATGGAATCATCTCCTCATCCTGCATAAACCAGTAGAGTTGCATTTAGTTGCTCTCTTTAAGAGCTGTGTTGGTAAAAATGGTCTTTAAAAAAAAAAAAAATCACGTTTGCTATTAAAATTCCCTCATTTTGTCAGCCTGCTGCTTCTGCTACTTCATTTAACCAAAGCCAGGTACTAGTGCTTCTGCCACCTAGCTTAACTGCCCTGTTGGTTTTAGGTGGGATAGAGTTAATTTTCTTCACAGTAGCTAGTACAAGGCTATGCTTTGGATTTGTTCCAGGCCATGTTTTGGATCTGTGCTGAGAAGAATATTGATAACAATAATGTTTTTAGTTGTTGCTAAGGAGTGTTTGTACCAAGCCAAGGACTTTTTCAGTTTCTCATACAACACCTGTGTTCCCAACTTCCTCTCTACAAGAAGCTGGGAGAGTCACGGCCAGGACAGTCCACCAAACCGATCAATGGCATATTTAATTCCATAAAATGTCGTGCTCAGTATATAAGTTGGGGGTGGGGTGGGGGTCTTGCTTGCTCGCTTGCTCTCTCGGTTGCTCTCTCACTCGCTCTCTTGCTCTTTGGGGCTCACTCTGGCATGATCTCTCTCTCTCTCTCAGGCTTGGTCTGGCTCTTAGGCTCTGGCTGTCACTGCTCAGGACCTGTCTGGGTGGTGGTTGGTGGGTGGAGAGCACTTGTATCGTTTGTATTATTTTCATTACATATTATTAGTAGTAGCAGTACTATTATTTTCATTTCATAGCATTACTAGTAATATTAGTATTGGCAGCATTATTGGTATTGTTAGTATTATTACTATCACTGTTTTATTCATTTCTATTCAATTATGAAATTGTTATTATCTCAGCTCACGAGTGTCCTTGTCTTTTCCTCCGATTCTCCTCCCCATCCCACTGGGGGAGAGGGAGGGACATGAGCAAGTAGCTGTGGTACTTGGTTGCTGGTGGGGATTAAACCACGACAGCAGCTAAGGAACAAACCCATTCTGGCGTAGCCCAGCTGTACCATCCTCAAGAGATACCAGTGGAGGATCAAGTTGCCATGGCTGCTCTTTAGACCTGACCACATTTTGGTTTGCTTAATAGCCTGAGGAGCAGAATGTATCTTAATTTATTGCAGTGTTGTGCTTGCATTGCAGTGTTAACTAACTGGCCTCAGCACGGTCAGGTGGCCAGAGGGAGGTGAAAGCGATGGTTTACGGTCTGCGTCATCTTACCTGTCTACAGCAATAGCAACTAGGGTGAAGACAGAGGCAGAAACAGAGATTCCTTGGACCATCCCACTCATCTTGCAAACCAGGCTCCCAAACGGCCATCCTAGAAGGAAAAGGGCAATTGAAATTGCTGCCATCATCATTAAGCTTAGAGGCAGAAGAGGAAATTTCCACCCCTGAACTCATACATCTCTTTTGCTCTGTCAGGCCATGCCAGGGGTTAGGGAGGCAGAGCTTGTGTAAACAAATGCTTTGCCAAACGCCTTGGGTGAGATTCTGAGGTTCCAAAGAACAGCAAAGCCAACATTTGCAGTTTAACATCCCGTCAAAATGAAATCTCAAGACAAGAAAGGGAACCAACCCCTACAGCTGATTATTCTCTGCACCTGGCTCATAGCATACCCCAAGATTTCCTAAACACACAACCTGGCAGTGGGAGAACTCCTTCCTAAAGCTAAGGGATGTGGATGTTGGCAAGGACAGCCCCAGTCAGAAGGTGGGTTAGAGGCTTGTCTTCCTCACCTCTGACTTCCACTGACTTAGAATGCCTCTGGAGCCAACGTGGAAATACACTCCCGGCTCCCAGGGCCCCTAGAGTGGCCAGCACTCGGAAACACAGGCGAGTGCCCCTTGAGCTCTTTCTGCCACGCGGTGCCAAGCTGCCTACCTGCAATAATGTTGTCCAGGAGGGTAGTGGGCATGCAGAAGATTCCCACCAGTAAATCGCTGACAGCCAGGTTTAAGATGAAAAGGTTTGTGACCGTACGCATGTGTTTGCTCCTCAGGACAATAAAGCAAACCACTCCGTTGCCAACCATGCAGAGCAGGAAGATGAGGAGGTAAGAGACGATGAAGACAGCTGCCACTGAAGGCTGGTGAAGATAAAAGTCCACATAGGAGACGTTGCCCTCCAAGTAGAAGTACTTGTATATCCCACTGTAATTCAGCACGTGAGGCCAATTGAATGAAGAGTTAGAATCCATCTTCTTACTCATGTTGTAATGTGCCTTCAAAGATATTTTTAAAAAGGTCATCTTAGGATGTTTGACACTGATCGGAAGTAATGTGACCAGTTTAGATATGCTGTGTGCTGAAATACATGCAAAGCTTATGTACACTCATCCCTCCGTGGCTTATTTTAACAGTCCACATTCGAAGACTCCCCAGACAGGACAAGAAACAAATACTATTATTTTGATTTTGCAACACAGCAGTCGAACTGATCACTTTTGTACGCCTGAAGGTTTTCTTCCTTTGGCAGGCTCTATAAATTAATGCTTTCCTTTCCCAAAGGAGAGAAAAGCCAGACAGGATGTAAGCTGGCCTATTGTGTTGTGTCACAAACCAACAACCTGAACAGATTATTTTGAGGAAAAAAATAATCGGAATTCTTGAGAAATCCATTTACTCAACAGCTCGAGTAATTTGTCAACAGTGAGATTGCGGAACCATGAAAAACAGAGATTAAATTAAAGCTTTCTGACCTGGTACAAACCTTCTGCCTGAATGTATCCAAATCCAATCCCATTTCATTGAAAATGGAATCATTCTGTGTACAGTTGGTATTAGTCCACATTTTACTTCCCTGCTTACAGGTTGCGTAGATGAGGAGATGAGGCTGCAAACACGAAGGACTACACTGAGTTTAAAACATGCCGAAATACAAGATGGATGGATTCATTTCCTGGCTCTGCTACTGAATTCCCACATGATGTGGCGAAAGTCATCTCCATGTTGCGGTTTTCCTGCTATAACATGTGAGTAATGCTTTTCCCACATGGCTTATTCACACTGTAAATTCTCCCATTTTATATTTTGTTAGATTACTGTTGGCAAAAACTACAAGCTTTTTCTAAGAGAGACTTCTTTCAAGTCTGGGCTTTTTTGATACTGCCTGATCTCAGTTTCAAGTTACAAGTACCTGTGCCTGCTGTGCTGTAGTAGCACTGCTTTTGCTGATGTGATGGCTTGAACGTAAGGGAAACAAGACTTTTTATTCAACTCCTTAATAGAGCTGAAAGAATCAGTTTATGGCACGTAGAGAATTTGTATGCCCCAAACTTACTTCCAAATAGAACGGATTGAGATTAATTTTGTAGGCCACCATCTGTTTTCTTGCCCCATAGAACCTTCAGTTAAATGAGATGCTGTACCGAAATTCTAGATCAGATCTTAACCATGACAAACTTGGAACACGTGTATTATACAACTCCCATAGAAACGGTGTCAGCCTACGTAACTGGCCAGCACTGGTAACGTGGGATAACTTGACTTGGAAGAAGCATTCAAAATTCTTTCCATGTTTATCTTATCTACCGGACAGAGATGCTTAAAGAGGCAGGGGGACGGAGGTGTTCCTCAGTTAAAAGAATAGCAACTTTAACTGGTGTCAGAAGGCATAAAATTCATGTATAGGTGCAGGTGCCTCTAGGACACTTACAAATTCCGTAGTATGAATGGAGTTTAAATTAAGGCACAAGTATCCAAATCCTGATGAGCTTGTTTGTGAGGGAAGGAAAGTGCTGGCTACTTCTCTTGCCTCGTGAAAGGAAACTCGGAGCGGGCCCTTTTTTGTGCGGCTGAGGTTTCAGCTGCCTCCCCAGATACCTGATGATGAGGCCTGTGCTGCCTGTCCCCGTATCTGTGGAGTAACGATGGAAGGTGACACTCCGTTGTCAATCCGCACAGGGCAGTCCTCTCCCCAGGAAATGAAAATGAGTGTTAGGTACTAACACTAAAAGGGCAGGTAGTTTTCCTTCATTATTCTTGCTGGGTTTTACTTAAAAGAGTTTCTAATTTACGTTCTGTCCCTGCCTGTTGTTCCTGGATGTATTCCCCTATTCTCAGGGAAAGCATTGCAGCTTTTCTATGTTTTGCTTGTCAGTGAGATTCAATAACATCAGAGCTTCTGCAAGTGTTTTGCTTCCAGGTAGCAAGTGCAGTAAAAAAATATTTATTCTGATACGCTTCATGTTTGGAACAAGCGGAGTAGGGAAAATACGTCGTGTCCTGGTGCCTTCTGCCTTTTTAGAAGCCAACAGCAGTACAACGTCTGTAACGGGCCTGTATGTTGACATTTTCATTACATTGTCTGCGCATTAAGGTCGGCAGCGAGGATCTGAAATCTTGCAAAAAAGGGCTGCTTGTGTGTGCTAACAATGCAGTACATCCAAGCTAGGTGTAATGGTTGTATATATGCTTTTTGGCTGTCTGGATGGAGAAAGGCTGTTTGTTTATGCCTATTGGTTTTATTCAACATATTTTCCAAATAATTGAAAATATTTTTATTCAGCTGTATTACATGCCAAATGCTTTAACTAGCCAGAGATCAGAGTCAACTGCTGTGAAAAGTGTTTTAATGCCAATTTTACTGCTCACTCAGGATAACATTCACCAATGCATTTGCATACAAACATGCCAAGATGAAGAGTGTCGGCAGAAGTCAAATAGCGATATTTGACAGTAGTAGTTCGTACTTTTCCTTTAATCACTGTGCTTTATAAACCCCGGGAGATGCTGCGTCACTAGAACCCTATTTAAAGCTCAGCATCTCTCGTGCACCTTTTTGGCCCGTGACAAGAAATAGATTTCTTGTTGCTCGCTTTCTGCGTCTTCCCCCAGCCAGCTTCTCAGGGTAGGAAGGAGCAGGAGCCCAAGCCCTCCCTGCCCAGGGAGATGGCTCTCCAGATGAGAAGCAGAGCTTACCACAGGAGCTTCCTCCACTGGGAACGGCAGCGAGGTGCCTAGCGTGGCGTGGCTACGCTGGATGAGGCCCAAATCTGTAACAAGGGATCTAACACGCCAGTGTGCGTTCTGTCGCTCCAGGTCACTTCTGAGCTTGCCAACCAATGGTATTAATCAAGTTAGGAATGCAAGGCCTCTCGTGTTGAATCCTTCTTTTCCTGATGGTTAGCAGTGAGAGTGAGCAAGGAGCTTGGTTTAACACCAGGGAAGTGAAATAGTAAGAGATGGAGCGGAAGATGCCAGTAATCTGACGCCTGTTACGTGTTTGGCGCAAACGAGGAAAGGGATGGAGCTACCCTAGGCTAACTGCTGGGTGTCAGTAAGTGCAGCTGTGCGAGAAAATGGGAGCTCTGCTCTGCACACAGCAAGAGCAGGACTTGTGCTCCTGGTAGGTCTCCTGTCCACCTTTGGAAATTTTGGCAAAGAGTGGCAATACACTCGATACCAAGAGTTTGGAAAAAGTCAGGCCCTCTGCCCTTCTCACCCTCTAACAGGAATAAACATGTCTTTGGGTCCTTTGTTTTGGCTTCTCTGCCGGAGTTCATGTTCTCCAACGTTTCTCTGCACATGCGAGAGCCACAAATATATTCTGTTTGCTATTGTTGTATATTAACACTAATTTTCTCCTGTCATCCTTTGCTTCCCAGAGGTGGTGCTTTAAGAAAGACCCTCTGGCTTGGGGAAGATGGCTTTTGCCTCGGGCTGTGTTCCCAGTCCCCGTGACCAACAGGACCTGTGCTGTCAAGAAGCAGCCCTGCAGATGAGGTAGGCTTGGCTTACCTTCCTTGCCTTCTGTAGTTTGTCTTTTCGAGGGGTCTCCGATGGTATGAGGGAGTAGTTCTCTGTCCTTCCACGACAGAGGAGATTATTACGCAGGTAGTACTACTATGAGGCTTTGGTCCCAGGAGTAAAACCCTTGTGGGTCATCCCTGCACGATGGCAGTATGCTAGTGAATTTATTACTTACAGTCCTGCTCATTAAGACAACTGACATGGTACCTTATCGCACTAGAAGTGGAGGGATAATTTTATTATTATTTTCTGGATACATATCCTGGATTTCCTCTCTTTGTCTGACAACATATTGTAAAGCAGCAGCTTTCAGTCTTTTCTGTAATGAACTCTGGAATAGTTTTTGATCGTAACTGACAAACACGAAGCTGGCCTCAAGGCGAAACCAGGGCTGTGTCTGTCTTGCGAACGCTGTGACAGTGGCACTAATGAAATTGTGCATCGTTGCGGCTGTAGGAAATGGCGAATTTGCCATACAAATACTGGAGCTTACGGGAAATGGAAAAGGTACACGGATTCTGATTACACTGAAGCTGAGGTGGAAAAGGATTGGCTGGAAGGAGAAATGAAGGCATTGCCTTGCGTTTTCACAAGGTACTTGCCAGCAAAAACCAGACAGTGATAAATAATGGAGAGAGGCACAGAAGACAGAAACATAAGTCACCTAAGAAAAGGGAAAAAATAATGCAATGCGTAAATATTACAAGATGATAAATAAAAGTAATTTTCTTCCACCTGGTAATTTGATAAGGGCATGGCCTCCCTACTTCATTTAATTTACCAGAGGAAAACCTGCCAAGCAGTTAAAGCAAGAATCTCCACTAGTGAAAACCCACCCAGTCCCACACACTGGGACTCATACACGAGGATCATACCCTGTTGAAATCCCAGTAACAGCACCTGTGTAGACATATGCAGTATGAAGTCTGACAGCATAACCAGAACAGTCTCATGCCACTGGATATGGAAAATCAATCTTCCATTTTTACAATAACAGTTCAAGGTAATTATGAAGTGAATGCAATTATTTTTATGTTGGCCACAGGGAGGAAATCTAGTAACCACTGGAGTCAGCCAACCGTGCTTCACCTTTGCGCACAACCATCTGCTCTCGCTACCTTGATTTGTGCGTGTGTGAAACCTCATCACAGAATTCTCTGAGGCTTTACAAGCTGAAACAAAGATAAGGAACCTTCGGAGACATGAAGAACAGAAGCATGTTGTGGTGGATAAAGAAAATTTTAAGTGGTAAGTGCTAAAAAATGTCCTGAGCTCTATACTGAGTAATGGGTCTCCTACAGAAGTTTCCCGTACACCTTGGAAAATGACAGCATCTGTGGTCTGCCGAAAAGTTAGGAAATCCTGCTTGCAAAGTGCAGCCACTGAGGGATGGCAAAAATAGCAGTACCTCATTCTGTGTCTTAGAAATAAGGAAGAGACAAATGCATGGGTTATCCTA